GACATTGCTGATGGTTTAGATAAAGCAATCTATAGGATGACTAGGATACTTCCTGATAAGAAGCTTAACAATATGGGCATTGGGAGGTAATTTGTTGCTAAAGTAAAGATGAATAAAGTTCTAACAAATTTCGCAAAGATAAGGTAATTAATTTGTCAAGTATACATCTGGAAGAGGGGCGTGAAGCTTCTACTGGAAGGAGGAATGAATTTCGGATTAGCGAATGAAGTAAACTATTCAGTTGACCTACTGGTAGAGCTAATTAGCTCAGTGACTCTTCCTGTACCTCCTCTCTCTCCCTTTCCTTAAGTTTATCCAACAGTTACAAAACGTTCATACTTATTTTCTACACTTGTTCCTCTTATTCAAGATGTTGGCTGTTTTGTTAATTTTTATAGACTCCCTAGTCTTACGCTTTGACGTGAAGTTCTCGTAACCCGCAAAACGTTGTGTTTTGAACCAGTCTATTGAGTGTCCCGTATTTGCAAAATGTATTTTGCAAGCTCAGATCTTTGGACTCACAGACCTTTACAAGCGGTTTTATGATCGCATAGTCTCTTGTGAATGGTTCGGCAGGTCTCCCCTACATATACCGTATCACATGAGCACAAAACCTTGTAACAACCTGATATATAAACTCTTCGAAATCCAGTTTTTATTCAAATAAGAAAACTGACTGAAATTTATGTCGTTTAGGTTTCAGTAATAACCTCTTATGAATTTGGTGAATTAGTGCAACGGCAAATAATTGATGTGGTATTGACGCAAATACCAAAGTAACTGCGTCTCAATGAATCTCTTAAGATAATATTGCTGAACAGACTTTCATTTCGTATAAAAATGCATGATAAAGAGATTCGTTGGTTGATCTCACAGAAAGACGACAGCCGATTCCCATTTTTCTGGGGCCGTTTGGCTTTAATAGGACGTTCATATTGACGAATTCCACGAGACATCTTCCCTTGTTTCGGGTGAGCATTCAGAGATTAAACAAGAAATTAAATTAAATATATATGAAGAGAAGCTGGGTTTCAAAGAATGCTTTAGTAGATTAATAGTGGGATATCTTTCATTTCGTTTGAGAGGTCAAGTGGAGGTGATTCGTAAGTTGACTTCATACGAGACCGTAGGAGGGTTGCCTTATACTTTTGTCTGTTGAAGTGTGCGAAGAAGACCTCGGCTCACCGTCCTACGAACCTAATGACTCCATGCTGAGCTTTCGTCCGTCATATGATGGACATCGTCAGAGCCAGTAACCATTATTCATGAGCAATCACGAAAAAACAATAAACCAAGAGAGGTGGCCAGCTAAGATTCTACTTACTTTCAACACCTCACTTAACGACTTGAACGAGGCATTCCATTACCTGGTTTGCTTTATGCCTTCCTACATGTGTGTAAGTGTGCGAAAATGAGCAACAAGGAAGGCGGATGTGGTCATAACGTTTGCTTATGTAAATAAACTAGCGTATGATCCTGTAATGCTCGGACTTGTTTTATCTTGGCGGATAAGTGTGTGCTATATGTACACAAGACTAGCGAATTAGTTAGGCATTTTGGGTCCAACTGGTTAGCTTTAGATATACACTCAGAGGTTATATCAGGAAATAAGATAATCAATGAGTCAATGACGAACTTAATAATTAATAGTACCTATTTTATCTTCAATGGTAAATTATACAAGGAAACCGGAGGATTATATATCGGATCGTGTTTGTCTCCAGTTCTAGCTAGTAACTGCATGGCTCAATTAGAAGTCAGGCTTTGTCAAAAAGCACTCCTAGTTTCGAAACTATTGGTCAGATATATGGATGATAACATTCCTATCTGATAGCGTTAGTGAATAGATTAGATAATATATAAAAAGAAAAGTTGGGTTTCGAGGAATCTCTTGTTTCATAATTGTTGAGCTTAATTCCATTTCGAGTGAAAGTGTTGGGGGAAAAGATTCGAAGGTCGGTTCCACCAGAAGACGACGGCGGATTCCTCTTGACCAGTTGCCAATTGGCTTGACTGGAAGATTCATGCTGATGCTGTTTCCGCTGGTGGAACCGACCTTATAATCTCTTCACCCAACACTTTCACTCGAAATGGAAGTAAGCTCAACGATAGATTAGATAAGACGACTAAATTCACTAAGAAGTTGGAAAAGGACAGACAGTTACACTTTTTAGATGTCATAGTTATTAAAGAAGGGAACAAAGCGGGTATGGATGTATATAGGAAACCCACAAATGCGGATTTCCATCTTAATTTCTCTCGAATCATACTCATGGTATTAAAGTAGGAGTAATGAAATCAATGATGATAAGAAGTTTATATCTAGCGGACGTAAATCATCAGGGTCATGAGTTAGAAAGGCTAAGAAAAACTTAGATCGTAGCTATGAAGACCAAGATGGTGTGGCCTTCTGCTTGGTCGCAGTCAACAACCCTAAGAAAAAATTAGTTGAGAGCAATTATATATTAAGAGTAATTGTTAATAATGTCAAAATACTAAGAAATAGGGTGAAAGGAAACCATTATTTAGGACCAAGCAAGGAATTAGACAAAACTTCGTCCAGGTTGCTAATGGTACCACCCTATCAGCTTTCACGGAAGATACGTGAAATGGAAAATCAGGACGCTGTAAAAAGACGCCTTCCTCGTTCATGCCTTCTAATAAAGAATCTTTAGATGCCCTCTTTAGATCAGGTCGTTATAGAGGTTTGTGTTCATGTGGTAGTGTTTATGTGTAGTAGACTCGTCGAACCATACGTACATCAGAACTCAAAACTACCTTCAAAGGTTTATGGGCTCAGAAATCCGAGATGACTGAACATGTGGTCACTTGAGGACACCAGATAGAGTGGTCTAAGTACCAACATTTTTCCGGATATGAAGACTTTAAAACTAAGCGGAAGATTAGGGAATCGATTTAAATGGACAAAACAAATAGCATCTTGAATAAGAAGAACGAGTGTAGGAAACTAAGTATGGAATAGCTGTGGCTGCTGAATATAATTGGCGAGAGAGAGAAAGAAAGAGAGGAAAATAGAGCAGGAAGAGCTACTTAGTAAGAGGATAAGACTTGACTAAGCTGAATTGAGTTTTCGAACTCACAATTGTCAACCAATTTACGAGTGTTGCATACACACAAAATACACGCAGCCACGAAGCTTAAACAAAGCCCAGCATTATAGAATCATACGCTAGTTTATTTACAGAGAAAAATTGTTATAAAATCCGCTTTCACCCATCATATGATGGACAAAAGCTCAGCCCGGTTTCAGACGAAACGATGGGGGATGTCTCTTATACTAGGTCGGGCTGTAGTACAACGGAAATCAGCCATCTTCGTCATGCGAGATCTCTTTTTCGTGCTCTTTAAAACGAAATGAAAGTCTCCACAACAAAGTAACAGAAATCTATAAAACGTCCAGGCCAGAAGCCTCCTGAGGTGAAGAACTTTAGCTTCTATAAGCCCTGTGGCTTTGTCCTGCATGGAAAGAGCCCAAGGTGGCATGAGTTATTTTTGCCAGTCGAATAAATAACATTCAAGAACTTTAATAAACTCGCATTAGCATACAATGTCAAAACCACTTACTCCTAGAGAAAAAACAACCTTTCATTACGTTTAAAAAGGCAAACGGAAAGACCTCGTAAGTTGACCTCACCGGAAGCGGAAAGGGGGATTGCCTTGGAACTGTGACTGTAGATTTGTGCGAATAGATCTTTGGTGCACCGCCCTGCGACCTCGATGAATCATTACTGAGTTTTATTCCATCATGTGACCAAGATCTACTGAGGATCTATTCACACAAACTTAAAGTTACGACTTCAAGTCAATCCTCTTACAACTTTCGGTGAAGGCACTTGCCTCTTTAAACGAAAGGGATTTTTCGAAAACTATTTTTACTACGTATGAGTCGAATATATGTTACCAAATAGATACTGTCTTCAAAAGTGTAATTCTCACCTGCCGTCTGTCATTAGCGCCTAACAAGCGGCCCTTTTCGACACTGTGAACTTTGTCGGAGCCCACTTCCGAGGCTGATGCCATCCAGACTTGCCAACTCAGCCTAGTCAAACAGGCAGCCAAGCATTGGGGTGCCCCGGGAGCAGTCAATGCGGTTCGAGTCATTTGGCCTCCATACAGCGAGGCCAACTGTGTGAGACAGGCCAAAGCCATCCCACTACCGCCACTACTGAACCCAGCGACTGCAGAGGTTGGCAGAGCGGAGGAATGTGCGTCAAGGCGGGGTTGGTTGTCCACGCGGCTGTACGAGGAAGATGGGGAGGCTGAGGAGGAGGAGGAGGAGCCGGAGGAAGGAATGGAGATGGTGGAGTAGTTTTTCAGGGATAGAAGATGAACCAGAGTGCCGGCCAGCTCTGGAGGAGGACGTGCGAATGTGAGGAGCTGGAAAAGAGAATATGCGATGTTGAGCAAAAAATTCTAATAAAGTAAAACTTCGTTTATACGCATAGTTACGAGACTACTAGTAAATCGGTTATATGAGATGTATTCATCATATTTCGTCTAAGGTGTAGAAGGACTGGTAGTAGAATTCTCCCACAATGATATGAGTAGAACTGACGTTTCCATTTAATTCCACAAAGCCTTGGTTTCCTAAAAGTTATTTTTATCCAGGATGGAGTGCAGTTTCGACCTCGCCTAGGTCTTATCAACACCCCCAAAAGAAATCGAACAATGGTAATGCAGCGTATAAGCTCGACACGTTAACCACTCCACCGCAATGCTACGAGTGTCTCTGGATCACCTGGGCAAATGTTATGTTGAAGGCCAGACATTTTCCCATATCATAGTCTTTGGTGGGAATTTCGATGAAGCAAAATTATATTAAAGGAGAATACCTGGCGTTGAAATTAGCATCCACCCTGTGACCTGAGGGCACTCGTGGCAATGTGGCGGAGTGATTAAGGCGTCGAGCCTACATGCTGCACTGTCATGGTTCGACTCCCCTGGGGGTGTGATAAGACATAGGCGAAGTCGAAACTACAGTCCATCCTGGATGAGAATAACTTTTGGGAAAGCAAGGCTATGTGGAATTAAATGGAAACGTCAGCTCTACTCATATCATTGTGGGAATATTTTACTACTAGTTCTTCATTACCTTATAGAAAAAAGAGTGAATACATCTCATATAAAAGAAATCAAGAATATGTGCACCCTGTAAAGTGATCTCTCTGTATTTATGCATATTTACAATCCATATTCATAGCAAATTAAGTACCAACCAATAAAAATTACAGACTCGGGGTTGGTTTCTAATTTTTTTACGAATGCAAAACCAAAATCCTTCTAACTCTTATACCTCAAATCTTTGCCTAATTCTTAGAATAAAGTGCATTAGGACATAGAAGATAGACTTATAAAATAAATGCAGTAGCAGTGACAGTGACCATTTTAATAAGACATTTCGAGATTCTATTCATAAGAAGTCGGTTTAGAGACTATCAGTCAATCTGGAATAAGAGTTCCAGTCGACCTAGGTCAAATAAGGTGAGATGCCATTGAATTTCACTTAGACTTGCATCCAAAGAAATTCTCTTATCCAGGATGCTTGCAGTTTCGACCTCTCCTAAGTAACATCAGCACCCCCAACTGGATTCGTAGTCATCACGATGCTCCCGACCCAGTATCGAATCCCGTTGAGGGTGCTGATGAGACCTATACGAGGTCGAAACTGTATTAGGCCTGGATGAGATAGCTTTTAAGGATACAAAGCTAAATGTAATGTAATGGCGCGTGGGAAAAGAACAACTATCAAAACTCAAATCACCTTAACAATAAAGTTCATTCTGTATAAGTGCATGGTATGCTGCGATCCAATGCAAAATCTATCCCTACGCTTTAGTAATCGTGGGTAAAAATGAGTATTATCACATAAAACTAATTAAAAAATCAATTCTGGGCGCTTTCTAGGATGACTAAGTTCATATTTATAAAATAATAGCTAGCTCAATATATGCACAACTCATGCAGATATGGAATAAAGAAAGTTGCTTGACGAATTGTATTATGTAGATGCGTGTCTGTCTTGCCCCGTTCATTTGGTCGCCGGCGGGAAGAATACACTATGGCTAAAGGCAAATCGGCTCTCGATGAGGTCAAAAATGGACAAATGTAGCACAGTGAATCGGTCAGTGAACACTTAAGCTAATCCTTGGAACAAGAAGGTCCAACCATTTGAGAAGGATATGTTCACCTTATCCTTAATGGATGGAACATTCTCGGGACTAGAAATACAAACTACATAATTGCGTTGGTTCGTGGCCTAAGCCAAAAATGCCGGCGCTTGGTTAGAAGGGGTGGCTCAACTCAAATACTGCAGGTGTTCTACATCTTCTGATGGAGTGAAATCATGCCTTTAAAAGAGAATTATCCCATGTTTAAGAGGAATTCTTTCAGGGGATTTAGTGTGAACATGGTAACTATCATTTTTTATCACAAATTCTAGACTAGTTTGCAGTCCTGCCCATGGAATGGCATGAATTTTAGCGCTGGAATCAATTTTAGCCCCAATTTAAGAAAATTACTTCATTTCTCAATTAAAGAATCACATAATTCAAAGAACACGTTTGCGTTCTAAATTATTAGCTAGGTTTAGGGAATGACTACTTTGACTATAAGCGACCTGCAAAGAGTTTGTTGAGGGGACTTTCATTTTGTATGAAAGTGAACAAATAATAGATTCGTAGGTCGATTTCACCAGAAGAAAATGGTTGAATCCCGTTGTACTGCAACCGTTTAGCTTTTATACGAAGTGAAGGTTGCGCAGTCCACAGACTTACTCCTTCTTCTTCATGCACTTTCATACGAAATGAAAGTCCCCCCCCAAACAATGTTATCTCAGGAGATTCATCGAAACCCAGAGTTATGGTGATTTCATTAAGTTAGTGAATTACGCAGATGGGAAGACCGAATTCACGATGGAGTTAGAAAGTTATGGTGGACTACCCTTTTTGGACGGATTAATTGGTAAAGACGGCACCAAATAGAGTAGTGCCTTCTCAAGGCCCCAGAAGCACGTATACTGCCGCCTTAACGAGCAGAGAGCCTAGGCTGTGATTCTCATGCTTGCAGATCTCAGGCATTGTCTTCATGGGCCGTCTCCTTGATTAAACCCGTGTAACCTGAGCAAACTGTGGACGCCTATCTCCGGTCGCATACGGCATCTCAAG